AAAGTCCTCCTCGGATATAAGGTATGATTTCACGTGCCTCTAATAAACACATATTTCTTGGAGGTTCACTTCACCGCTGCGCAATGTCCGTCACTAAAAGTGACTGGTTTTCAGGTGAGAGTTAATGTGCTTGCCTCGATTGGTAGCAGTAACGTCAGCCTTGAAAGTTGGGAGATTTCCACATACAAGCATTCCTGTTTTACGCCTCGCTCGTGGCACCCAAGACAAATTTGAAGTACTCAAAACAACACGTGCGGCCCCAACAACGCTCATTAAGCATTTACGGGCTAACGTTAAGAGTTGTACGTGAAGTTTACGGTTGACACCGCCCTGTAATCGAAGCGAGAAGACCCTCATATGTTTTCATGTGTTCTTTACAGAAAGTACTCACCGGTTCGGCGGTCGCCATCTTACAATTCTCTGTTAGGAAAGTTTCTGTTGATTGGACCGAACTATGCAACGTGACGGTCCCGCTGCGGACATGCGCCGTGCATGCAGCCGCCACTGGCTGGCTGCGCCGGCTGGCTGCTTGTCGTCGACTCCACCCCTTGTGCAGACGGAGCAGGCATGGCGAGCACCGAGGCTAGAAGGGAGTGTGAGACAGAGGGCTGCAGTAAGGACGCCAAACTTCAGTGCCCCACATGTATCAAGCTTGGTATTCAAGGTTCCTATTTCTGCTCGCAGGTACTTCTGCTTTCCCGGTTTGTCTGCTTTAAATGTGAGCTGGTGCCGCGTGCCGGGGCCCTCTGTTTTATCACGAGGCTGCTAACTGACAAGCTAGGTAGCTGTGTGTACGTGAATCTATTGGTAAAGCGCAACTTTTTGTGAACGTTGCGGATGCTTATTAGTTGTATAGTGGCACACAGACTGGTGGCGATAAATAATGCAACCAGTGATTGTAACTGGTGCTACCTGCTAACCACCAGGCCGAGGGCAAACGCTTAGCTAGCTAACTTATGGCTAAAATGAGTCATGTAACGACCCTGGTCAAAATAATAGCTGTGGCCAATTGGTGTTAAGTTGTCTAACGTAAAACGGTTTATGAAGTCATATTTATTGTGTAGGAATCACATAAAGTGATGCAGTATGTTGCACACACTTGCATTTGAGTTGTAAAGTGATATGTCACCCAACTCTAGCCCGACAGATCATCCTGGTTCTTTGGTTCCCACGAGACCAAACATCTGTAGGAAATGTGTCATTTTAAAGATGGAGTGTTTATGCGTTGGGTCTCCTACTTGGCTGGAAATCAGAAGAGCTACATGTAGTATGCAAACACATTTCTTTCAGAAGTTTGGCTGCTTAGAGTAGTGACAAGCACATTGGTACGCCACTTGTGTTTTAATTACCAGTTATACCACGTGGATATTTCCTTTGTAGCTGCATACACTGGATTAGAATGATCAGTAGAATTTTGAGTAAAATCTCTCAAGATTTCTTTGAAAAGCTAAAAAAGCTTTGAAAAGATAAATAGTTAGTAATAAACACTGTCAGCAACACGAACTTGTAGTGCAAAGGTATTTGACCCTAAAGGTCTCTGCTGTGAGTGCAGTTTTGGTTCTGCTGCCAGACTCGGCTTTCCACTCCGTGCCATTAACTGTCCACGCTGATTTATAGGCCTTGATGGTTTCTGTTTGCAAATAAGCGAATAAGATGACCTTTACCGATGGCAGCAGGCCCTCATTTTCTGCTACTTCTCAAAGTAAAGTAACCCAAATTTCAGTTGTAGCTGACTATAATTGGGTTATATGGTTGTGATCACGTGTGAATGTTGCATATTGTTGATATGGACTTCACTGAAAAATTTGTGCTGTAACAGTAATAATAATAATTTTTCTTTGCAGGAATGTTTTAAAGGAAGCTGGGCATCTCACAAGTTGCTGCACAAAAAAGCAAGTAGGTGCAATTGGGCACTGTCTACCACTGTGCTATCATGATGCTTAGCTTATATGAACAAGCAGCATTGTATTTATTAGGGGTGCAACGATACACAAAATTCA